AAGCTGGAAGTGGTGTTGTGGCTCATATAGTAGAGTGCCAGCCTTGATCAAAAGAAGCTCATGGACAGTGCCCAGGCCCTGAGTTCAAGCCCCAGGACTGGCAAAAAAAGAAAAAGGAGAAGGACTGGAGATGTAGCTCAGTGGTAAAGCAATTGCCTATAGCATGCACAAGGCCTTGGGTTCAATCCCCCCAGCCCTAAAAGAAGAAAGCAAGCCAAAAACTAAAACAAAAAGGCATTTAAAATCACACTTCTAATAAATGTAATGTGTTACTGAATTCTGTGGTGCAGGGAAAGTCCGAACGGGGTTCCTTTCGTGCCACAACCTCAGCATGTGTAAAATAGGAGACTAAAATTGCTCCCTCCTCTCAGGCAGGAGCACTGCCTGGGAGAATGAATGTGCACAAGCACACATCTGAATGATTTTGTTTTTGTCTTTTTATGTTTTGCCAGTCTTGGGACTTGAACTCAGGACCTGGGCACTGTCTGTGAGTTTCTTTTGCTCAAGGCTAGCACTCTACCACATGAGCCACAGCGCTATTTCTGGCTTTTTCTGTGTATGTGGTACTGAGGAATCGAACCTAGGGCTTCACCTGTGCTAGGCAAGCACTCTACCACTAAGCCACCTTCCCAGCCCAATGTTTTACAGTTTTCAAGACAGCTGCCAGGACCAAAAGAAGGCCTCTGGAGAGGGTTCAGGAACCACACAAACCCCAGGTCACAGAGGCGGAGGCCTGTGATCCCAGGGGTCAGAACCAAAGCTCTGGGCCCAGGGAACTCTGGGAACCGTGTCCAGCTGTTGGATTCACAGGATCCCCTCCCTCCAGGCTCGGCGGGCCCCGTGGGCCCCCGTGTGTCCATTGGCTGCAACAGCACCTCGGACTTCAGGGTAGGGGGTGGGGGCAGAGCCTGAGGGGACCACAGACTGCATAAAGTGACAACAAAACAAACAGGGGAAATCACGTCAGCTGGGAAGGAGGTGGGCGCTTCTGAAGACTGGCCACATTCTGCTCTGGTGGCTAAGTATTTGCTCTGCTGTGCATTTGTGGGTGTGCTTCTCAGAGTCTGTAGTTCACACTTGCTGAGGTTTCAGTGAACTGGTGGGTGGGTGGGGAGAAGGGGGTCAAGCCTTGCACCAGGCCAGGGCCTGGGGAACGCCCAGGCAGGTGTGGCCGGGGCAGACCAGCGAAGCTGAAGCTCAGGCCGGGCTAAAGGGCTGTCCAGAGGGAGGTGGCGTGGGGGCAGAGCGGGGGTGGGAGGCCAGGCGACAGCTCACAGCTGCGGGTGCAGAAGGCGTCTGCCCCCAGGCGCCTCGTCCCCCCTCCAGCTGTCCCCCCAGTTCCCACCCTCACAGGGGCCCAGCAGCTGGCTGAGAATCCTTTGACACCGGCAGTGCCATTTTAGGCAGTATACTTCCTGAGCCTCTGTCCTACACTTCCACAAACCCAGCTGTCACTTTGTCTTCGGTCCCAATCCAGCCCCTCAGAGTGGCTCAGAGCCTGACCCATGTCCTCTTTTTTTTTTTTTAATGGGGCTTGAACTCTAGGTCTGGGCGCTGTCCCTCAGCCTTTTAGCTCAAGACAAGCGCTCTACCACTTGAGCCACAGTGCCACTTCCGGTTTCCTGGTGACTAATCGGAGATAAGAGTCTCATGGACTTTCCTGCCTGGGCTGGCTTTGAACTATGATCCTCAAATCAGCTAGGATTACAGGCCTGAGCCCCTGGCACCCAGCATGACCCGTGTCCTCATTAGGCCACCGTACCTGATAGCCCAGGCCAGGGCTCTGCCTTGGGCTTTCTAGGCACCCAGGTCTTGTGCTCTCGGGCTGACCCAGCCTGGGTGGAACTGGGTGTGGGTGAGCTGAGGGCTTGGCTGTGCTGGGGGTGAGAATGGTGATTTGCTGCTCTTAAGCGGCTGTTGAGTTAGCCCTGGCTGTCTGGCATTTTCCACAGGTCCATGCCAGCACCCCGGCAGCCTGGCAGTGGCTAAGCAAGCACTCGGCCTGTACCTCCCGTGTAGCCCCTCTGAGTCTCCCTGTCTGCCTCTTCCCGGCCAAGCTTTCCTGACATCCCGTGCATGATTCCCTCCATGGCTGTACTCCTGGGCCCCCAGGCTGTGTAGGAAGGCCCTGGCTAGTATCTCAGGTCTCAAGGCACCTGGCTTGTAGCCGGCACCGAGTAGGCCGAGCCCCTAAGAACAGGGTGCTGTGAAATCTCAGCTACTCAGGAGGCTGGGGTCTAAGGATCATGGTTCGAAGTAAGCAGGTTAAGTCTGTGAAACTCTTATCTCCAATTAGCCAGCAAAAAGCACGAAGTGGAGTTCAACTGAGCGAAATAGCTCAGGGACAGTGCCCAAGCCCTGAGTTCAAGACCCAGTATCTGCACCATGAAACAGACAACAACAACAAAAAACTACCCAATGAGTAGACTTGGCCTTTTGGATTGCGTGGGTTCAGCCTCCATCCACTTAGGAGTCACAGCCTCCACATGAATGCTTTCCCTCTGCCTCTCTTATCCCCCCCCCCCGTGAAACAAGGATGTCTTTATAGCCCCTGCCCGAGGGGCTCGTACCATCACCCCTCACCGCACCCCTTAAAGGAGGGACGTCCAGGAAGGCTGGGTTCCTGCCCAGGGTGCCAAGCCAGATCAAGTAGGCATCTGAACTTCTCTTCAACCCAGCGCCAAGCCTGATGACCCCCAGGAAACTCAGCTGCCTTGGTGGGGAGGTGGGGAGACCAGGAAGCCATGGCCGTGGCCAAGGGGCAAGCGCAGGTGGGCTGGCAGGAAGGCCCCCCCAGCCGTCCTGGGCTCCGGCAGCAGCTGGGGGTAGGAGCCACCCCTGTGTCCCTCGCAGTGACCACTGGGAAATCCAACCTCCTGGCTGTGGGGCAGAGAAGGAGGCTGCACACTGGGCGCTGGACTGCAGGGGGTCAGCAGAGGGGCGTCCTGCAAAGCTGGGGGGGGCTGGGCGCCGGTGGCTCACCCCCGCCATCCTAGCTACTCAGGAGGCTGAGATCTGAGAATCACGGTTCAAAGCCAACCCGGGCAGGAAAATCTGTGAGACTCTTATCTCCAATAAACCAGCAGCAAATCAGAAGTGGGACTGTGGCTGAAGTGGTAGAGTGCTCGCCTTGAGCTGAAGAACTGAGAACAGCACCCAGGCCCAGAGTTCAAACCCCACGACTGACAAAAAGGAAAAGAAAGAAAAGGTGGGTGAGGGGTGCCCTGGACCTGGCTGTGCACATAACTGTGGGTTTGAGTTCTTTTTTTTGGGGGGGTCCAGTCGTGGGGCCTGAACTCTGGGCCTGGGCGCTGTCCCTCAGCTCTTCAGCTCAGGGCTAGCACTCTACCACTTGAGCCACAGCACCACTTCCGGCTTTTTGCTTATGTGGTGCTGAGGAATCGGACCCAGGGCCTCATGCATGCAAGGCAAGTGCTCTACCACTGAGCCACCTTCCCAGCCCCTGGGTTTGAGTTCTTGTGTGGGGGGAGAGATGACAGCAATTGGGTACAGCTGCTGGGGAGGCGGAGCCAGGAGGGAGGTGAGGTGTGGTGTGAGGGGGCTGGCCGTGGAATGAGGGGGGCTGGCATTAGCCCTCCCATATGCTGGTGGCTGGGCTGGCCTGTAGATGTAGTGGACTCAGGGGTTCCACACCAAGACTGGCTCTGTCCCTCACTGAAAGTGTTTTTTTTTTTGGTTGGTCGTGGGGCTTGAACTCTGGGCCTGGGCGCTGTCCCTCAGCTCTTCAGCTCAAAGTGAGCCCTCTACCACTTGAGCCACAGCGCCCCTTCTGGTTCCTGGTGGACTTTCCTGCCTGGGCTGGCTTTGAACTGGGATTGTCAGATTTCAGCCTCCCGGGTAGCTAGGATGACAGGCGTGAGCCACCGGTGCCCGGCTACTGAAGGTGTTTTCTAGACCCTTACTCTGCCTTCCTCAGCCAACAGCTCCTGGAGGCGCAGCAGACAGGCAGGGTGGGGGCCTTCTGGACTTGGACCCAGGGGCTGGGGGCTGAGTCGGTGCTAGCTGCAGCCAGCTCCGTGGGGGTCCGCAGACTCTCCTTGGGTCTGGAGAGGCCTGGCGCCTGTCTAGACCCCCCTACCCCAGCTTTCCTCTTCCTCCCTGCCTGCCAGACCCCCTGCACACAGCCTGGCTCCAGGCCCCTCCACCTTCCCCCAAAGTGTGAGGGCTGCGCCCAGACCCCAAGCACCACTCTGCAGCCAGCCCCCACCCATCCCAAGCAGCACACCCTGAGTCTGTACACTTTCAAGAACAACAGGACTCTTGGACAGCCTGAGTACAAGGTGATCCATCGGCGTGTGTGTGTGTGCGTGTGTGTGTGTGTGTGTGTGTGTGTGCGCGCATTGCTCATGGGAGGAGACGCATGACTCGGGTTGAAGGCTTGGGGTTTCTCAGAGCCCATCCTGCCCATCCAGGACAAAAGGCCTGTCTCCTGTGTGGTCCAGGAGATGTTGGGATCAGACGGGATCCCTGAGGACAGCCTGCACCTGTCAGACAGCTTCTGATCTTCCCTGGCCTCTGCAGCTCCCCGCTGTCTCCCTGCATAGCACAGTAACTCTTTCTGAGCTCAGTGCCAGTGACGCCCACACGTTTCTGGCCCTGGCTCCCACTCTATCTCTCTCCAGCTGTGTTTGGGCTGGGCCTGGGGTGCCAGCGTGCCCCTTGCCAGCTGCTGAGGGGACATCTGAGCCCTCCAGGCCTGGCGCCAGGGCCCGATCACTGACGGGTGGAGGAGCCCTGGGAGGGAGGGACAGGTGGAGGCCCTCTCTTAGCTGTCAGCACCCATGATGGATGAGGAGTATGCAGAGAGGAGGTCCGGGAGGCCAGACGACTTCCCTGCTGCTGGGGAAGGTGGGGAACTGGCCTCCTGGGGTCTATAGGCAGAAAGCCCCTCACGGCTGGGGGGCCCGGGTGAGGGCCCCCACTAACAGGGGTGTTTAAAAACCCAAAGGCTGCCCAGCCCTCCCATTCCTGCTGGCGTCATGGGCACCTGGGCCTGCACAGCCTTTCTGCTGCTCTGCCTGACTCCTGACAGCCAGCAAGGCGGTGAGGGCAGGAGGCGGGGCCGAGGCAGCTGAGGGGCTGGGGGGGGGGTGTCACACAGCATGGACCAGACGCTGGGCTTCCAGATCCAGAGAAAGTTGGGTCATGGGGGGCCTGGGCTGGGGATTTCAGACAGGGAGCGCTCGGGGTCCTGAAGAGATGGGCCCCTCAGCTTCTGAGGCCTAGTCCTGAGCGGCATACCTCGCTTCCCCAGGGCTGCCCCCAATCTCTCCTGGCCTGGGACAAGGTAAGCCCTTCCTCTGGACACCTGGGGTCCCGGAGGATCTTGGAGCTCGCTGGGCCTATCCTGGACGTTCCTCGGCCCCGGGACCCTGTCTCCTAACCGTCAATCCACTTACTGGTAGGGAGGACAGATGGAAGGGGTCCGAGCTGGTGCTGAGCCCCATGACTGACAAAAAAACAAAACAAAAAAGAATCAGCAGGGAGAGGTGTGGGCTGTGATGAAGAGGGGTGAATGGACTCTGCCCTCGACCCCCTGGGGTACAGTTGAGATGCCTTTCTCTGTGCTACCTTCAGACTACACACCTGGTCTGTCCTCACCCCTCCTGTGACCAGTGGGGAAACTGAGGCCCAGAGAGGGAAGGTGGCTTGCACACTTGACCCTTCTTGACACTCCTGAGTTCTTCCCTTCTCCCCCCACCCCCCCAGTCCCCCAAAAGCTAAACTTCTCATTTCCCTCCCCCCAGGCTATGGCTCCCCCAGCCGTCTTGGAGCAGGTGAGGGCAGAAGGGGGGAGTCTGGGGCAGGGAGTGGGGTACTTCTGGTCTCTCTCCCCCACAAAGGGGGAGCAGGGCAGCAGCAGTTATCATGGGGGCCATGGGCCGGGTGTGGAGATGCAGATTTGTAAACCCGGAAACAGGGGAGGCAGAGATCCGGAGGACTGGGGTTCCAAGCCAGCCTGGGCAAAATGTTATCACGACCCTATCTCCACCAACAAGCCAGACATGATGATTCACATCTGTAATTCCAGCTATGTGAGAAGCAAGGGTAGGAGGCTCTGTCTGCGGCCATCTAGGATAAAAATGCACGATCCTACGTGAAAAATAAGGAAGCAAGAAAGGGCTGGGGGAATGGAGGGTAGAGCGCCTGCCTAGCAAGCTCCAGGTCATGAGTTCAAATCCCAGCACCGAGAAGAGAGAGGAAAAGAAACACAGGGGGTCCTGTGTGGCCTCCACATGTCCTCCAGGCACACTGGGCCCCAGAAGTCAGGGGAGCCCTGTCCCCTCACACTCCTCCTCCTGTCCCCCAGGATTCAGAAATGGAAATGGTCTGGGAGCCCAACTAGGTGAGACTGGGGGGGGGCAGAGCACCCAGGAGGGAGGGTCAGGGCCCAGGTGTCCTCTCCCTCCCCCCACCCCCAGCCTCAGAGGGGAGGGACGGGACCACTGAAGGCTGGAGGGAGGTAGGGAGCCCTGTGGGTTTGCTGGGTTCTGGCTGAGGAATCTAAGGCCCCTGTGGGGCCCCACACCTCCCCGCCTCTCCCCCTCTCCCCTCAGGCCTTCCGGCTCAGAATGGCTATGGAGGAGGTAAAGAGCAGCCAAGGGAAGCCTAGAACCAGGATGGGGGGGGGACCCCTCAGCCCCGGGGCTGACCCTTGTCTCGTCTGCAGGTGTTGCGGCAGGAGTGAAGCCTCAGAAGACAGGTGAGTCCCCTGGGACCCTGCCCCGGCGCCCTCACCCCTCCCTGACTGCCCTTCCCTGTCTGCGCAGGCTTTGGGCACAGGCATGGCGGCGGGCCGGAGGCGGCGGCCTTCCCCGGAGCTGCCCTGCAGCCAGGTGGGGCGCTGGCAGAGGTGGGGGGGCCCTGAGGAGGGCAGACTGGGGACTCCATGAAGGGGGACGGGACGGAGATGGGGGGTTCTGGTGCTGGGTTTGGGGAAGAGACAAAAGCCCCGGACACCCCCTAGTGCTCCCCTCAGACCCCCCTGCTCAGAATGGCTGTGAAACGAGGTGCCCCGAGGAGGCTGGGTCCTCTGGCATCCCCATAGCTCCTCCACCTCTCTCCCCAGGGTTTGGAGGGGGTCCGAAGCCCCAGAAACCAGGTAGGTGTCCGCCGTGTGCCTGTCCCTCTGTCCCTGTGTCCCTCTGAAGTCCTAGCCGCCTGCTCATTCTTCCATCGACTCTGTCCCCCAGGACAGGGAGCAGGGCCTTTCCCAGGGCCGGGACTGCAGCCAGGTGAGGCCGGCGGGAACACCCAGGGGCCTGGGGCTGCTTCTGGAGGGAGGACAGGGGTTCAGCCTCCCATGTCTTCTAGACCTGCCCATTTCTATCTGTGTCCCCCACCCAGGCCTGTCCACCCCATGGCTTAGCACCCACCACAGTCTCCCCAGGTTTTGAGGGCAGAACTAGTTTGGGCGTCAGTACTTTTCCAGGGATGGGGAGTCCTGGCAGTGGAGAATGGCTGGGGAGGGGTCGCCCGGAGTCCGTGATAAATCTCCTTCTTTCTCATCTAGGCCTAGGTGGGAGCGTGAAACCTCAGAAGCCAGGTGAGCGGAGGCCCCGCCCCGCCCCATGCTCATCTCTACGGCTGACTCTTCCTGCCCCGGCCCTGCCTTGGTTTGCATTATGTTTGTAGAGACTGGTCCTGTGCTTGGCCTTTTGAGACATGGTCTCAGCCCTGGGCAGGAATGCTCCAGGCTGTTCTCTGGGCATATTTCTGGAGGCAAGAGCTGCCTGGGTCACAGAGGCCTGCTGTAGGGAGAATACCACATGAACTTGCACCAGCCGGGCACTGGGGCTTGAACTCTGGGCCTGGGCGCTGTCCCTCAGCTCTTCAGCACAAGACTAGCGCTCTACCACTTGAGCCACAGCGCCACTTCCCATTTCCTGGTGGTTTGTTGGAGACAAGAGTCTCGAGGACTTTCCTGCCCAGGCTGGCTTTGAACTGCCATTCACAGATGTCAGCCTCCTGAATAGTTAGGATTACAGGCGTGAGCCACCAGCGCCTGGCTGAGGATCACATTTTGAAGCCAGTCCCAGCAGGAAAGTCTGGGAGACTCACCTGCAACTGACTTAGTAGAAAGCCAGAAGTGGAGCTGTGGCTCGGGTGGTAGAGCACCAGCCTAAAAAATTGAGAACAGTGCCCAGGCCCTGAGTTCCAGGACCTGGTACGTGCATGCGCGCGCGCGCACACACACACACACACACACACACACTCACACTCACACGAAGCTGTGTAGACTACTGTCTAGACTACCATGACCTGGTCTCATACCAGCCAGGCTCCAGCTTCTGCCTCTCTCTTTCCTCGCAGCCCCTGCACCTCAGAACGGCCATGGACCAGGTAGGAGAAGGGGGGCATGTGTGAGGGTTTGGGGCTCTGCGGAGCTTGGTCCCCATCCTTTCCTCCGGCATGGGAGGAGGTGGGAAACCTCACAGCAGTGGTCCCGTCCACACCTTGCGTGGCGAGGCCTGGCCTGACCCTGCTCCTTCCTGTCTGACTCCCAAAGGCAACGGGCACGGGATGCAAGCCCCGGCCTTCCCCGGAGGCAGAGCCCAGCCAGGTGAGAGCGCCTCACCCAGGTGGCGAGGCCGAAACCGGGGAGGGGGAGGATCTAGGGGAGGCCAGAGGCCATCTCTAGAAGGGGACTGAGGACTTGCTCGTGGCTCAGCCTCTCCGGGTCTCCACTCAGGCTTGGGGGCTGGCAGGGAGCCCCAGACACCATGTGTTGTGGTCCCAACCACGGGTGGGCTTGTGCTTCGAAGTCCGCTCTTGGTCTGTTCACACCCCACTTTCCCTCCAGGACTCAGCAATGGAAACGGCCTGGGGGTCCAGCCAGGTGAGGGCAGCCCCCAGCCCTCCCCGCCGCCCCCAGGGTCTACCCCTGTGCCAGGCTGGGCTTGAAAGCTCAGTCCATGGGCTGAGAACGAAAGGTCCAATCGAAGGCCTCGATCAGGACTGAAAGGGAACTCACAAGGCTGGCGGGCAGGCCCAAGGGGCCGGATGAGGGAGACACGGAGAACATGCACACTCCCTGTCCCCCTCCCGCCCCTCCCACCCCATCCGGTCCTGCAGTGCCAATCGGTGTAGAGGGTGTGAGGGTGGAGGGGGCAGCCCAGGGCTGTTTCCAGGGGATACCCAAAGATGGACCCTCACCTGTTCATCTCTCCCCCAGGCTTTGGAGGGGGCAGAAAACCCCAGAAGCCAGGTGAGGTCCTCCTGGTATCATCTTCCTGCAGTCTGCCTGTGCATCTCCTGGACCCAGATTCCCCCTTTGACCCCCTTTTGCTCTGTCTCCCCAGGGCTGGGGAATGGGAACGGGATGGGGGCCGGTGCCCTCCTCAGAGCTGGAACTCCACCAGGTGAGGCCTGGGTTCTGAGTGGGCGGGGCTCCCGGGGCGGAGGCGCTGATAGGCCAGCCTGACAGGCTCTCCTTCTGGGCGCTGTCCCTCAGCTCTTCAGCTCAAGGCAAGCGCTCTGCCACTTGAGCCACAGCACCACGTCTGGTTTTCTAGTGGTTTATTGGAGATAAGAGTCTCATGGACTTTCCTGCCCGGGCTGGCTTTGAACCGCAATCTTCAGATCTCAGCCTCCTGAGTAGCTAGGGTGACAGGTGTGAGCCACCGGCGCCCAGCACCCCCCCCTCCCCTTTTTTAAGACAGTTTCACTCCATAGCTCAGGCTGGCCTGGACACAGCCATTCTCCTGCCTTTACCTCCCAAGTTCAGGAATTACAGGTCTAGCGAGTGTTGGTGAAGTAGAAGGCTGTCTTCCTCACTGGTTGTGACATCCAAGGACCTGGCAGCTAGATGTGGCATCCAGGGCTCCCAAGAGGGAGGTGAAGGCCAGGAGTCACCACCTTCCTGGGAGTCCAGTCAAGAGAGCGAGCGGCAGGGAGAAGGGGGGAAGGCCAGAGAGGGCGGGGTCAGCAGAGCCAGTGGGGGAGGGGAGGGGCAGAGGTCGGAAGAAGTCATTGTCCACCATGTGGGCAGGATTTGGCTACTCAGGGACCGGCTCCTTTGGGGCAGACAGGGAGAAGGGCAGAGCCCGTGACCACCAGCCGGAGTTCAGAGCCCCTTCCTTTCCCTCCCTAGGCCCTGCCTCTCAGAATGGCTACGGACCAGGTAAGGACAGAGCTGGGTTTGAGGGAGGCTTGGAGATGGGGACCCCAGGTCCCTCACCTGCTCCCTGTCTCCTTCCCAGGATACGGAGGAGGCATGAAGCCCCAGAAACCAGGTGAGCCCCCTCCCCTCACCCACACCCCTCTGCCTCTGTGCCCCAGGATTTGGGAGCAGGAATGGGCTTGGAGCCCAGCCAGGTAGGAGTGCCGTCTGGGGGTTCGGCATGCCTACAGCCCCGTCCCTCCCCAGCCTCAGAGGAGGGGGCTTGGGGAGGGAGTCTCAGAATGCCTGACCCTCAAGCCCCTGGGGGTGACACCTGGCGTGGGTCCCTCCTTTCCCCTGCCTTCCCCCTCCTCCCCTCCCCCACACATCCTCATCCTCAGAATAGCTGCAAAAGGTGCTTGGAGCTCTGACCATACACCCCATCACGCCTCCCTCCCTCTCCACAGGGACTGGGGTGCCTCCCCTGCTCCCCTTTGCCTCCCATGCTTTGAGTCTGTTTGAGAGACACCCCCTACCCCCACACTCCCGTCTCCGAGCTGCCTCCTCCTGAACCCCACCCCCCCTCATGCCTCTCCCCCTCCCCCAGGATACAGTCACGGGAATGGACTGGGAGCCTGGCCAGGTGTGTGTGGCTGGCCCAGGGGCCTGGGCAGGTGGAGGGCTGGAGTCTGGGGGTTCCGGCGGCTGCCCCACCCACAATGGCCTCTCTCTGCCTCGCTCCAGGCCTAGGAGTGGGCATGCGGCCTCAGGGGCCAGGTGAGAGGCTGGCCCGTGTCCCTACGTCCCCGCTGCCCCTGTGCATGGGGGGGGGGCTGTGCCCGGCTCTGAGGAGAAGCCTTTGCTTCATGGTGAATGGAAGCTGAGGGGCAAAGGGGCCCATGGGGGGCTGGGGACCCCGCGAGCCCCCCTAGACAGGGCTGCAGCTTCTTCCTCACCTCCCCACAGCTCCTACCACGCGGAATGGCTACGGCCCAGGTAGGGGCAGAGTCCGGGGTCTGAGGACCCCCAGAGGTGGGGAGCTCCTCACCCTTCGCCCCTTACCTTCTCCCTCTCTCCTGCAGGCTATGGAGGGGACACGAAGCCCCAGAAACCAGGTGAGCCCTGTGTCTGCTGTGTCCCCAGCCCTGAGCCCTGCCCCCCCACGCCCTCCCTCTGTGCTGCCAGGACCTGGGCCCGGGCTGGGCGTGCAGACAGATGAGAGGCGCTGCGGGGGGGGGGACCGCACCCCTGCGTGCGCACCCCAGGTGTCTCTGGTACCCCAGGTTTCTGGTTGACCCTTTTCTTCTCCACCTAAGCCAGGGCTCCTTTTGGGGAGGGAGTGGCCCGGTCTGAGCCCCCCTCCTTGCCCCCCACTCCTACCAGAACCGAAAAACGCCCTTGTGCCTCTCAGCCTCTTGCTGTGCGCCACTTGCCCTGCAGTGCCCGTTGGTGGTGGGAGGCTGGGGGGCCCGGACGGGGTCCGAGAAGGCATCGTGGGCTGCCAACCTACTCGCCAGCGCTTCTCTAAGGCACTGGGGAGGGCACAACACCCCAGAAACTCCCTACTACCCCTAAAAGCCCCTCCCTTCCCAACCCCACTCTGTCTCCGCAGGGCACAGGACCGGGCTGGGAGCCGGGGCCTTCGCTGATGCGGGCGCTCAGCCAGGTGAGCGGGCGCAGTGCGGGAGGCGGCAGGGGCCAGGGCACCACGGGCAGAGGCGGACCTGGCGGACGGGAGGGGTGCACCTGCCTGTCACCCCCCATCTTTCTCCAGGCCTGGGACGGGGCACAAAACCTCCCAAACCAGGTGAGTTCCACTCGGTCCTTCTTCCTGCCTGCGCTGGTATCTCCCCAGGGGACCTGGCCTGCTTGCCCTCCCTCCCAGGGCCCATGCCAGGGCACGGCCGGGGGCTCAGCCGAGGAGAACGTGGGGTGTGCCGAGGCCCGGGCTGTCTCCCCCAGGGCCTGGAAGGGGGTGGGAGGACCCCACATCTCATCTCTTCTGCATCCTCGCATCCTGCCCCTCGCTTCCCCACTCTTCTCCAGGTTATGCCAATGGGAATGGGCTGGCGGCCCAGCCAGGTGAGGCCGCTGAGACCAGGCTGGTGGACCAGGAGGGAGGAGGGGGTGGCTGGAAGGTGGAGGATGCCCCCCCCCGCCCGCCACTGCCTACTTGTCCTCCCCTGCAAGGGTTGCAGGCTGTAGCTTAGCGGACCAGGGCCCCCTGGCAGCCTGGGGCTCACTCCCCACACCTTGCCTCCCGCCCCCCATTCAGGGCCTTGCCATCGGGGGGTCATCCCCCGGCTGCTCCCCAGGCCTCCCACTCCAGCTGTCCCTTCAGAAAAAGTGGGTGGCTGGGGCCTGAAATCCCAGCCCCCTCCCGCAGTACAGAACGGCCAGTTCCCAGGTGAGTGTGGAGTGGGGGGTTGGGGGAGGGCACTGGAGGCCCTGGCCCGGGAGGGGCTGGGCCCGGCCCCCTGGCCACCCCGCCATGTCACTCTACACCGAGGCTCAGAGACGACAGTGCCCTCCGGCAGGGTAGTTCTACGGCAGGCTTCAGCCCTGTGTGGGCTCACTCCTGTCCCCCAACTTTTTTCCTAGCACCAACCCCGGCTGTCCAGTGGGGACCGAAACCTCAGAAAGCAGGTGTGAGTCTGTCCGTTGCCAGGCCCCGTATCTCAGAGGGACAAGCCCTTGCTTGTCTCCATGTGAGACTACAGTCCCTCCGCTGTGGGGCTGTCTCAGCGGCTCAGCTGTCCTAGGAAGTTCCTCCCAGAGTTGACCCTTAATTTCTCTTGCTGTCTCCTAAGCTTTCTTTTTCTAGTCTCTACTCTGTGGATAGGGGCAGCCCCTTACATTCATTCTCGGCCTCTAAGGAGCCAGAGGAGGTCTCCATCCTCTAGCACTCACCTCCACACCCTTCACAGGTTACCAGCCTCCCAATGGTTACCGACCAGGGGCAGAACCGGGTGAGAATGTTTCTCCTGCTCTTCCTTCTCCCTCCACCCCAGGAAAAGGCCTGGCAAAGCTGGGGCCATCTCTGACCCACGGTCTCCTCTCTTCCCAGGCTTTGGTGGTGGCCTCAGGCTGCAGAAAGTCGGTGAGCCCTGCTAGATGGCCAGCTCAGGCTCAGGCTGACATCTCCACCATGGCACGCCCCTCTTCAGCTCCATTTTTCCATCTCTTTTCTTACTTATATAACATACATTTGCTACTCAGTCAGCTGTTATGGTGGCTGCAGCCCCACGCCCTCAGAAGATGGTAGAATGGTCTGAGCCAGGGGGAAAGAAAGCAGGCTCAGAAATTGTCTAAGGGGATGAAATCCTGGAGGTGGTGGCAGGGCGGGTAGTTGGAAAGGCAAGTGGGAGAGTGATTCAGGTGGAGGGGGCAGCCTCTGAGGCCACCTTAAAGTTGCCTCTGAACATGGAGTCGGGTGGGCGGTACATCCTGTCACTACTGCCGGTCCTCTGGCCTTCCATGCGCCATTTTCTCCTCTCCCCTACAGGTTTTAATTATGGGACTGGAGCTCTGGGAGCTGGGCTTTTCCCTGAGACCCGCCCACCACCAGGTACCTGGTGGGCTAACATGGGGGTGAGGGGAGGCCAGGGAGACTCCCGTCATCTCTGATCTGCTTTCCTCCTCCAGCATTCCCTGGGCTCACTGGCTTTCGGAACGGTGAGTTAGAAGGGACGTGGCCAGAGACCGAACAGAAATAAGTAGGATCTCTTACAAAATATAGAGAGGAGGTTCTTGGGTACTCTAAAGTCATACCTCCAGGTTCTGGAGGAGCTGGGGCCTCCCAAGTGTCTAGCATGGGGGGGGTGCAGAGTGGCCAATGTCCACTGTCCCCCACAGGTCTGCCACCACAGGCCTCTCCCTGGCCAGCCCTCCGGCCCTGGGAGACTGGCATGAAGCCAGGATACAGATATGCAGGAGTTGGGAGTCAGCCAGGTAATGGGGTGTATGTGGAAGGGTGGGGTGTGGTCGAGGAGAAATCAGGGTTCTGAGTCCAGGTCCACCCCACGTCCCTGTGGAGAGGGAGGGTCAGAACTCTTGGCAGAGAAAATGGAGGGAAGGAGGCAGGAGGGAAGAGGCACAGGTGGGTGCCAGCCTGAATGCTGGACAAACACAGGCAGAGGAGAGCAGGTCATGGAGCTCAGTCCTTCCTTCTTCCCAGGACCATATGGTCAGCTGGGGCCAGAGCTGGGTCTGGGGCCCTTTGGTGAGTGTGAAATCTGCTGGTACTCAAGGGGGAAGTTGGGTAGGCAGAAGTTATCTGGTGATCCAGGAGCCCCTGATTTGTTTTCTGTACAATAGGGGACCCTGAGGTGAAGCCAGGTGCCAGTAGCCATCTGGAAAATGCCTATGAAGGTGAGAAGGAACACATGATCCACCAATGCCATTGTCCCCGCCCCCCCCAGCTGCACATTCCCAGTGTTTGTGGGACAGCAAACTCTCAAACTAGAGTGTGAACTCTGACCAGAGGCAGGACTCAGCGGGGCCCTGCTCTCCCGAGTGCTCACTCACTCTACCTCTTCCTAGGCTGATACCCTCTTGGAAAATAATGAGCACTGGAGCCAGTCCTCTGCCCATCCTCCAGGCCTCGGCATCACCGCCTGGCACCCAGGGCAAAGAAGGCGGGACCTGGGAACTTAGTCTCTGGCGCTGCCTGGTGTGGGGTCTCCCTCTGGCTGAAGTATTAATAAATGCAGTGTGCTTCTTTGATCGCCTCGGGGTGCCTCGGAGGTGCTGGCTGGGGTATGAAGATAGCAGGGGCTGGCAGCAACCACTCAGCATCTCGTTCATTCATTCAACAAACACCAACGTGGTGGTGTGCCAGGGCCCAGGTGGGAGGGAGACAGTGAGAACTCAACAAACTCAACATCTGTTCTCAGGCACGCACTCACCTTGGCCTCCGGAGTGGGTAGGATCACAGGCGTACCTGACACACAGTGTACTTGATCAGATTCCCTCCGTCGCTTTCCCTCGTCTCCCTCCACTTCCCCTGCGCCCAGTCTCTGCCATCTGTCATTTACAATCCTTAGGAACTTCAAGTGCTGTCCACTGTCCACAAACGCGGCTCCAGAACTGTGTGGTCTTTTCTATAAGACAACTGGAATGAAAACTCAGTTATCTTACAGAAACCTTGATTTATAAGGTTATAAGGGTCACTAAGGGTAAACAGCAACCAAAGCAGGGCCGCCCGGGCTCCAGGCGGTACCCCACCCGGCCAGGTGGGGGCGCACACCGCGCGTGCACCCAGCCGGCTCTCAGCAACCGGAGGGACGCAGAGACCCGCACCGCGCGGGGCGGGAGCACGTGACGGAAGCGCGCTGCTGCTTCTGATTGGCTGCTAAGGATAGCTGGGGGGGGGAAACGACAGGCGCACTGGCTCCTGATTGGCTGGAGCATCCAGTCAGGCGCCTCCAATTGGCTGGGGTGGTGCCGGTGGCGCCGGGCCTCCGCGTCCCCGGCCCGAGGTCGCGGAAAGCGGTGCCGATAGGGCCCTGGGGCGGCCGGCGGCGGCCAACTGGCTACGGGGCTGCCCCGCTCGCGCTCGCACCCGCGGTTCTCCCGCGCGCACCCCCGGCTGAGCCGGACCCGCGGGTCGCTGCCGCCCTCCCCGCCGCCCGGGCCGTCCCTGCCGCACCCCCCGCTGCCGGGGCTCCCGGCCGGCCTGACCGCGGGCCCCCCGCCGCCCTCGGCGCTCGCCCAGGCCGAGCTGCCGCCGCTGCCCGCGCTGCCGCTGCGGCCCGAGCTGCTGGCTCCGTGGGGGCCCCTCGCCCACCTGGCGCTGCCGGAGCTGCCGCCCGAGGCCTGCGCGCCCGCGCCGCCCCGCGCCGCCCTCGCCCTGCAGGGCCTGCCGCGCCTGCCCGCGCCCGCGCCGCCGCCCGCGCACCTGCCGCTGCCGCCGCTGCCCGAGGCCGCCGCCGCCGCCGCGCCGCTGCCCGTGGGCGCGCGCGGCCGCCCGCCGCTGCTGGGCGAGGCCTCCCCGCGGCCGCTGCCGCCGCTGCCCGCGCGGCCCGCGCCCTGCGGCCCGCTGGCGCCGCCCGCGCCCCGCGCGCCCTGGCCGCGCCCCGCGCTCCCGCCGCCGCCCCCGTACTTCTTCCTGTGGCCGCCCAGCTGACCTCGGGGCCTCCCGACCACCGGGCAGCGCGGGGTGAGTAGGGAGCCCGAGGTGGCACCCCCAGATTCAGATCACGGGCCCGAGCCCGGCTGCGGGGTCAGGGAGGCGCCCGGGTTTGGGGGTGTGGGGGGGAAACCTCAAGTCTGACAAGGTCGTTTTAAGATGAAGGGGCCGGCGAGCCGTGGTCTGCGGCGCATGCCTGTCACCCTGGCTGCCCGGGAGGCTTAGAGCTGAAGATCGCAGTTCGAAGCCAACCTGAGCACCAAGCCGACGACACTCATAGTCTTAAGTGAACCACCATAAAGCCGGAAGTGGAGCCGCGGCTCAAGTGGTAGATCATTGACGTGGAGCGGAAAAAGCTTAGGGACAGCGCCCAGGCCCTGAGTTCAAACCCCAGGACTGGAAGGGAAAGCAAAAACAAAATGGGGCTTTCTTCCATTTCCGTTTGCTGCAGTCCATCCCAGTGCTCAGGACACGTGGAAGGAAACCGGGATCGAGAAGATGAAGTCGGGCCCCAGTGGCTCACCGGCCTGTTCCCAGCTCCTCTGGAGGCGAAGCTCTGAGGAGGGTGATTTGAAGTCAGCCAGAGCAGAAAAGTCTGTGAGACTCTTATCTCCAATTAACCACCAGAAAGAAAAGAAAAGAAAAAAATGGAAGTGGTGCTGTGGCCAAAGCGGTAGAGTGCTAGCTTTGAGTGGAAATAGCTCAGGGACAGGGCCCAGACCCAGAGTTCAAGACCCAATGACCCCTAAGAAAGGAAAGAAGATGCAGTTTCGGTGGCATGCATCAGCCAGCATCCACAGGTCTAATGTCCCTTTACAAAGGGTCTGGATGTCATGAAGGCCTTTTTCTCCTTATGTTCGGAAACGCTGACCTTCCTTCTCAGCTGAAACCCATCCTGGGGCCTGCTGTGCCTCGTGAGCGTTGATAGACAGTCGATACTGGGCCAATGGCTGTGAAGTCATCCCTTGGACAGGAAAGCTCCGGGGCCTCCATGGAAACTCCTGTCTCCAGCCTTTTACTGGCCTTCCACCCCCACACTGCCAGTTTCTGTGCAGCCAGTACACTTCGATATAAAGTTCTCTTTGTTCCCCTGGTGGCCTGGGCTCAGGTAACCAGGCGGATGCCAGCTCCCGGGCTCTTCTGCAGCCGCTCGGGAGTAGTATCAGGAAGCCAACCTCGACCTTGGGGGACCTCTGAGATCCTGGGACCCACCAGCAAGAAGGGTAGTATATGAGTTTTCTGTGACCACAGTTACCAAATTACAAGCACTGAGTGGCCTAAGACAACAGAATTTTTTTTTCTCTTACAGTTCTGGATGTCAGAAATACAGAGTGAAGGCTTGGCAGGCGCTGCTTCCTCTGTGAGTACTAGGGAAGGGCCCTGTGATGGCTTTGGGCCACCCTTGGCTTGTGACTGTAACACTCTGGTCTCTGCCCCTCTCACAGGCTTCTTCTCTGGGTCCATTCCCATTTTGCCTGGTTCTCTCTCACAAGGACCTTTGCCGTTGCTCCTGGCACACTCCGTCCACACCGATTTTGTCTGAAGAGCCTTCATTTTGTACCAGATGAGGTCACATTCCCAGGGTCCACCTGGATTGTGGGCGCCGCACAGTCCATAGAGGAGGTGTCCTCTCCCTTGTGGGGCTGGCTCATCTTCCTGTCAACCCAGAATTTCCTGTGAACAGGGCATGCTCGTGCTCCGCTGCAATCTGGACATTCAGGAGACTAAGATGGAAGATTCTAAGAGTTCACGGCCAGCCTGAAAAAGAAAAAGAAGCTAGGTGCCCGTGGCTCACCCCTGTAGTGCTAGCTACTCAAGAGGCTGAAATCGGAGGATCATGGTTTGAAGCCAGCCAGGGCAGGAAAGTCTGTGAGACTCTTATCTCCAGTTCACTCAAAAAAAAAAAAAAAAAAGCCAGAAATGGAGTAGTGGCTCAAGTGGTAGAGTGCTAGCCTTGAGCACAAAAGCTCAAGGACAGTGCCCAGGCCCTGAATTCACTCACACACACACACTCACACAGAAGAAAGAAAGAAAAAGAAGGAAAGAAAGAAGGAAAAAGAGCTTCTGGTGTCGTAGGCCCTGCCCCTCACTGAGCTGGGACCTTGGGTACCCCTAGAGCCATTTCTTGGGCAGGGGCCCCTGCAGCTGATCTGACGAGCAGAAGAAAATGAAGTGCCTGTCCTTCCCCACTGCTTGGCCTGCTGCCTGCCCACCTTCCCCCCTCAGCTCAGTCAGTCAAGGAGGGACAAAGAATGTCCTCTGAAAAGACCGGAGCCCCGCCCCCAAGCTGGGAAGCTGATGGTTACCACTGATAATAAAGTTAATTGTTACCCAGTCCAAGGGCCCGTCCGTGTTTTCAAGTGAAACTGCCCTTAGGATTTTAACAAAGTACCTGCCTGACTCCATCCCTACAGTGATGCCCCAAATGTAAGGTGCTCACCTAAGAAAGAGGCCCTGGGGGTGGGGCGGGGCTTCCAACGCCACACCCAAGAGACACCTGCACAGGGCACGTGTGACCGGCCCAGGGTGGTCCTGGGTGAGAGTCCAGCCTGCTGCCTACTACTAAAGGAAAGCCAAGGGCACTGTGCTCTGTCTGCCTGGGATGCAGACAGAGTGGAGATGGCCTGTCTCTGACCATCAGGTTCACAGCAAGGGAATGGAGCGGGGAGGGGAGGCTCTGCGGGGGGCGGGGCCTTGGGCCGCGGAGACCTGGGACCCGAGGGAATCCCAGTTCCCACAGCACCCGCCGGCGGGGCCTGCGGGCCTCACCTGAATATTTCAGAGGGTTGGGAGGTTAGAGCTCTGCTCCTCCTCAGGTGAACCTGGGCCTCGGTGCACCTGCAGGCCGAGCGCCGGCTGCCCCGGGGCGCTCCCTGTCCTCGGGCTGGGCCGCACTTTCCCCTCCAGAAGAAGGGGGTGACTCCAGGCTGGTAGCGAGCTGTTTTCTCCTTCCAGCCAGCCCCTCTGTCCTCCCAGACCACACAAAGAGAAGTTATTTTGTTATTCCCCGAATTTCCCACCAGGTTGGCTTGCTCTGGGGAGGGGCTCCCCCCCCCACCTCTTTCCGGCCCCCGGAGGGAGGGGTGGGGATCGCTAAATGCTCCTCCACGCCCCACCTCTCCATATCAATGGCATTCCAGACGCTATCAATTCCCCTGCTAGGTCCTATCTTAACCCTTTGGTTCCCAACACCTAACTAGGTTAGGTCTGGCTAAGTTGGACTGGACCCTAAAAGAGAGAACGTCCCAGCCAGGCCCCCGGGAAATTGAAGGCCCCATTTGGCGGACTCGAGCCTTGGGCCACCTGAGGGCCAGTCTGGCTGGAGGTGACCACGAGCGAGGGGTCCCCGTCACCCAGCACACGCCTTCCTGTGGCCTGCGGGTTCCGCCCCGCCACAGTAGCTGTTTCTGCTTTGTCTGTGGTGAGCGCTCCACATTTGGGGGAGTCTTTTGGACAGTGCTTTATTGTGTGTCTGCAGCCGCTACCTGGTCTAGTGGGGGTCTAGTGGGCTGCCCAGCCCCCACCTCCCCACACACACCGCACGACGGCCAAGCAAGCACCTGTCCCAGTTTCCCTGGGACCCGGGACTCTACATCCATCTGGGAATGTCCCGGGCCAGGATGGGGTGAGTAGGTCACTGTGAGCCTAGCGGGGAGACTGTTGGGTTGGGACAGCAGTGTGTGTGTGTGGGGGAGACAGCAGTGTGTGTGTGTGTGTGTGTGTGTGTGTTGGTGGGCCCTTCGAGAGACCCAGGCTTTGCCTCCCAGGCCAGATACCTGCCCAAACCTGTGTGGCGGGATTCCTGGTAGCCCCTGGAAGGTCGCTGGGGAAGCCCACGGACAGCCTGGCTCTATTTGCTCTTCTTCTCAGCCCCCCTGCGCTCCCCCAGCACCTGTGAAATCCAAGCCCCAGGAGCTGGATGAGCTGGCCAAACACAACCTCGGAGGAGGCCATCCACGCCTCTGGCCTGGCTGGGGGATGGGCCCCAGGCCAGCCCCAGGTTCAGGTGGAGCCCCTCCCTGCGGGGAGCCTCAAGATCGGGGTGGAGGACGCCCCAACCCACTCCACCTTCCAGACAAGCGCCCCCCGTTTTTGGTGGGGGAAGTCCTCCAACACACTCCCATCCCTGGGTTCCATCCGAATAATCCCAGAACCAGAGATTTTACAAAGTCCTGGGGTACACGGTGGGGGGTGGCTCTCAGACCTGCCCCATAGCTGTGTGGTGGCCGTGTCAGCCCTGGAGGTCAGGCTGGAGGTCAGCTGGGCCTTTGAGGGCCTCCTCTCCGTGAAACACGAAACACGTTCCCTTTCAGATAATTACAGTCGCCACTAGTCTAGGTCTTAGCAACCAGGAATGGGCCTCGGGAAGTTCACAGACCCCCAATGAGAACCGCTGCGGGAATATGTTTCTCTGGAGCTTGTGAGCACCTTGAGGGGTCTCAAAGGGGTCTCCACTTCAAGGGGCCTTGGCTTTCTACGATGCTCCCTGCTAGAGGGCTGGGGGCTTGAGCCATGATTTGTGTGACTGTCAGACTGCGCCCTGCAGGGGAGTTACAGCTTCCCAGAGGGTCTCCCCTGGTGATCCAGGCCGTCTGTCTCCATCGCCTAAGAGCCAGGTCTGAGGCTGCACCTGGACCTGGGGTCCCTGTTTCCCCCTTCCTGACCCCAGGCCCCTGTGTGCCCTCCCACACAACAGTTTCTTCATTTCCTGGCCTCTCGGGACTACCGGCTCAGTCCAGCCCCCTCCCCCCAGTTTCTGCAGTGGGGGAAGGGCAGGCACACCTGAGCTGGGGGGGGGCAGTTTTCTAGGCCGTCACCAGAGCGATGCCACCCGAGCTGGGCGCCAGGCACCTGTTGCCCGGGGAACTGTGCGGGCGGGGCCGTCTCCCGGGAGCCGCTGGGCCACTGAGCTGAGACGGGAGGCAGATCAGATTCCAGGCTCCTGGGGCAAGGTGGGGCTCTGAGAAGGGGTGCAATGCGGCAGAAGCTGGGGCGTCATGGAAGGGGGTGGGGAGGGGGGCAGGGCGAAGGTGGCAGGGGACAGGGGCAGGTTCAGGCCCAGGCCTTGTCTGCCTTCAGCATCCAGACCGGATTCATTGTCTTCCCGCCTTCCCTGTGTCTCAGCTCATCCCTTTCTCCTATGAGCCAAGACGTTCCTCCCCTGGCCCTGCCTGAGCTCAGGGCCCCCCCACTGACCCTCAGGGCACCCCAATCCACGCGCCCAAGGCCCCTCCTCCTCATCCCTCAGGTCCTACCACCCAATCACAGCCCCGGCCTTGCTCCACGCCTCCCCTGCCTGAGTCTTAAAACCCCCGCCACCTGCAGCAGGTGCCACAGAGGCCCCGTGGCACCACAAAGGGCACGCTGCCCAGCCAGCACCCGCGCCGGCGCCAGCCAGCACAAAGGACGGAGCCCGCCCCGGCCGCACAGCAGGTTGGAGGGTCCAGAAGGGTCTAGTGACTCCATGGACACTTAACCAGAGCCGTCCATGGGTGATCGGTCCCCACGCGGACACGAGCCACCCAGCCCAGGAGGATCTAGAGACCAGCGTGGATTCAGTGAGTACCAACTACCTGGAGGCCCACAGATGTGAGGACTGTCCCGGCCCCAAGCCAGCACCAAGAGTCCCCCCAGCCTGCGCTGCGCTTGTCACCCCTGCTCCCAGTCAACCAGGCTGCCCGGGGCTGAGAAGATCTAACCCCCCCAAATGGCTTCAACTGGCCTTGAGCTTCTGGGCATGACCCTGGCGGTGCTGGGCTGGCTCGGGACCCTGGTGTCCTGCGCCCTGCCCCTGTGGAAGGTGACCGCCTTCATCGGCAACAGCATCGTGGTGGCCCAGGTCGTGTGGGAGGGGCTGTGGATGTCCTGCGTGGTGCAGAGCACCGGCCAGATGCAGTGTAAGGTGTACGACTCGCTCCTGGCGCTGCCCCAGGACCTGCAGGCCGCCAGGGCCCTCTGCGTCGTCGCCCTCCTGCTGGCGCTGCTGGGCCTGTTGGTGGCCATTACGGGCGCCCAGTGCACCACCTGCGTGGAGGATGAGGGCGCCAAGGCCCGCATCGTGCTCACCGCCGGGGTCATCCTCCTCCTGGCGGGCATCCTGGTGCTCATCCCGGTCTGCTGGACAGCCCACGCCATCATCCAGGACTTCTACAACCCTCTGGTGGCCGAGGCCCTCAAGAGGGAGCTGGGGGCCTCCCTCTACCTGGGCTGGGCGGCAGCGGCCCTGCTCATGCTAGGTGGGGGGCTCTTGTGCTGCACATGCCCCCCACCCCAGATTGAGCGGCCCCGTGGACCCAGGCTGGGGTACTCCATCCCCTCCCGCTCAGGGGCCTCAGGGCTGGACAAGAGGGACTACGTGTGAGGATGAAGCCTTCTCCAGGAGCCCCAACCTCCCGCGTGGCCTCCGCGTGGCCTCGGCGCGACCGTTCTCCTTCTACTACCAGCCCTGCTCCCCAGGGAAGCGGCACGGGCTCGTCCAGGACTGGCACGGCTCGGCCACCTCGTCAGTGGCCCCGGTGCTGAAGGCAGGAAAGCTTGGGTGCGCTGCCCCCCCACCCTCTTCTGCCGTGTGGCTGGAACAGAACTGTATGGAAGCTTCTGGCCCTGGGAACCTGGGCTTTTAACCCAAAGGGTAAAAGCTGTTTGCCCTCCCTGCCCTGAAATTCACTGGAACACCACTGCCATCAAGAGGCCCAGGCTGCCCGGCTGTCCAGCTCCCCACCCCCACCCCCCACCCCCAGAATAAAAGAGCATTTGTAACCAGCCTCCCTGCCTCCCTCTGCGGCTCCAGGTCCTACTCTGTAGATGGTCTCGCTGAGGCGGGGTGAGGCTGGGCAGGGCAAGGGTCAATCACCTGCGCACCATCTCCCCAGTGGAGAATCCCGCCCCCACACACAACAAAGGCGTATTTAAAAAAATGCTTTATTTAGTAAAACCTTGTGTAGGTGGTGAATGGGTGAAATGCGTGCGTCAAGGTGAGGTTGGGGGCGGGGTGTATATCACAAGCGGGACCTGACTCAGGATGGGGCCGTGGGGACCAGATTTGGGGGCCAGGGGTGGAGAGTTCTTGGGTGACTGATGGCCTCTCCTAACAGGCCTGAGGAGAGGCCTGATGGCAAAGGGTGTGGTCACCTTTACCGGTTTGGGGGGGCAGCAGAGGCTGCCTCTGGGACAAGGCCATCTGGTGGCCACAAAGGCAGAACTGCAAGCAGCCTTTGTGCCGGCTCCACAGCTCACTCCTGTTGGCTTTCCAAGATGGTGATGATGTCCGCGGCAAAGAAAGATCCAGAAACTCAAAAGCACCGTTTGATTCCGTTAAAAAAGGTGAGAAAGGCTAAGAGGAGAAGGTGGGGGGGGGATTCTCTCCCATCTTGGTTCAATTGTTGAGTGGGTTTAAAAAGATTATCCCTGCCCATAAAAGCAGACACTCAAACCCAGAGAGTATTAAGAGCCAACACCCAAGGTGCTGAGGGCCTCATCGCGGTGGCTGATCTCAGAGGCCAACGGAGGTCAGACGTAATTCTTGGTGGGGTACTCAGAGGGCCCCCGAGGCGGGGAATGGGGGGCCGACGTGGAGTAGCGGGCCATGTAATGATTGGCAACCGGGGACCCTCCTGAGGGGCACGTGCAGCACAGGAGCCCCCCACCCAGCAGCAGAAGGCCAGAGGCAGCCCAGCCCAGGTAGAGGGAGGCCCCCAGCTCGCGCTTTTGAGCTTCAGCCACCAGGGGGTTATAGAAGTCCTGGATGATGGCGTGAGCTGTCCAGCAGACTGGGATGAGGGTCAGGATGCCTGAGAGGACAAAGATGATCCCAGAGGTCAGCACCAGACGGGCCTTGGAGTTCTTGTCATCCACACAGGTGGTACACTTGGCGCCGGCGAGGTAGATCAGCAGGCCGAACAGGGACAAGAGCAGCGTGATGACGCAGAGGGCCCTGGCAGCCTGCAGGTCCTGGGGCAGCGCCAGGAGCGAGTCGTACACCTTACACTGCATCTGGCCGGTGCTCTGCACCACGCAGGACATCCACAGCCCCTCCCACACGATCTGGGCCACCACGATGCTGTTGCCGATGAAGGCGGTCACCTTCCACATGGGCAGGGCGCAGGACACCAGGGCCTTTATCCAGCCCAGCAATGTCAGGACAATTCCCAGGATTTGCAGACCAGAAGACGCCATAGTGAGGTGCAGAGGCTGCACTGCGGGGGGGGGGGCAAAAACAAACAAGTGTTCGGCCTAGACAACAAACGACTAGCCAGCTTTGGTTCCATCACCAGGACACCAAGAGCTTGTATCCTGAAGTCTGTCTGTCTGTCTTGGAATACAGGAGATAAACATCCTCTACACATCATTTTTGGGTGGACAAGCCAGGCTTTTAATCAACGCCCCCCTGGTGAAATGACAGGCACTGATTTATCCCAGTGAATAATCAAAGGACAGAGGTGATAGCGTAAAGCTCTCACTCACAGAGCGCGGTGCGTGGACACAGGTACTTTTCAACTCACTTCGTGTAGCAGCAGAAAGGAATGGAAAGACAGCGGAATTCCCAAAGGCAGAGTGGAGATCCTGCTCTCCCTCCCCACCCAAGGCAAGGCCCAAACCGAATTGCTCTCAGATCGCGTACACCTTGAGTCCCAGCAAGGCCCCGCCCGCACCACAGCCATCTCCTCCCTGACCAGGCAGGTGTCTGGGTTCTTCACCTGGGAGGCACCTGCCAGCCAGGCCTGGAGGGACAGGAGAGAAGAGACACTCAAACCCCCAAGCAGTTCCTTCCTCAAAGCCACCTGCTGACTCGTGGCCTCCGCCCCGGGCCGAGGAACAGGTCCTCAAGGTTTGGGGTATTGTTGAGCACTTCAGACCGAAGGTCTCAGGACGCATCTTTGCCAGGAGAAGCTAAACTGGCGGGGGTGTGTTCCGTGTCTCTCCTGCGCCCCCTCATCCCGTCGGAGAGGACAGGGGACCAGCTCGGCCCCTGGCCCGCTGGAGACCGCCATTACCCTTGGCTTTTCCTGAAGGGTTTGGGCCTAGGCCCGGGGCAGCCCGGCAGTGGCCGGTGGGCGGTTCCTGACTTCCTCCTCTCTTACCCTCCGGCCCCGGAGGCCGGGCTTATGGTCTCGGGGGACCCTCGCCCCCCCACCTCCCTGTACCCCCGACGGAGAGGCCCAGCTGGGTCCCCGGCGCCGCGGTGGAACCGTCCTCTCCGGGCCCGCGGGGCGCC